AAAGTCAGTGAACAAGAATATTAGAAGCTTTGTTGTTAGTATGTATGGAAAGAACGGCAGACTCTGGAACTTGGGGACAACTGAACCAATGTGAAAGTACAGTATAGTAAATACATGTCATGTACTAATGAGTTACATTCTGATCTGGGTATATTACACCTTGTTTAACCTCTTATGAAGTTAAGTGTTTGGGTCAATTATTCCTATGGTTACTTACAAGGGCTGGCGATGACAATGTTTAAATTTACAGAATCTGATTGAGGTCTTACTAATTCCACAGCTCTCATTTTAAATAGGAAAATATGAGAGCCAGTATACAATGACAATTGAGAGAACCCTGTTCCTTACAGTGATTTTTCTATTGCTGCAGTTGGAAAGGACTGCAAGGTAAGCTAAGCTGTAACAGAAGGGAACAGTAACTGTTGTGACATCAAGCGCATAGTGAATGGCCTAGTAACTAAACCTACGTTCCCAAGCACAGATGAACACAGGAACAAGCTTGGAAACAGATAACCACACAAGAGTTGGAAGGCAACTCAGTCTTAACCAACAAAACGTGTTAGTGGTAAGTTTGTTGAGCGCACCAGAAGCACTCCATAAACAAAGCAGCTGTAAGGAAGGAAAAAGTCTGAAACAAAAACCAGGTCATACATAACACATGCAAACCAGTTTACCTCCAAATCATGCAGATTGGCTGGTAAGCCCTGCTATAGAGAGAAAACAACATGTCACTACAAAAATATATCAACTAAATCAATATAAAAGCAAACCATGTACCACTCTAGGTACATGTAGTCTACTAAATGTAAGCAAGACATGCTATTATACAAGAAAATTTCTACAAATCTCTTTCACAGCGCTATTATTAACAAGAGTACAACATCTGCATCTACATGGCCTCCTTCAGTCCATATGGTAACAGCCCTACATCCTACAGCTATGCATGAACAGTCCTATACGAGAATGACTGTCTCTGCCACATAGGGCAGCTACAAAGTAAGCATCACAAGGGGGAGGCCAGAAGATCCACACTGGATCAGCCTAGTCCCGTGTTCTCACAAGAGTAGGCCACTTCGTGAGGTCTTCTACCTTTCAAACAGTCACTATTGATTGAAGAATATTGTACTAACTATGCATTACAGTCAAGAAATGATAAGCGCTAAAACATATAATCATTTTTTACCTCCATGTCGGGCAGGGCGCGCAGGGCGCTGAAGAGAGTCATGGTCTTGCCGCTGCCCGGCGGTCCGCAGAGGACGAGCGGCTTGTGCTCCGCCAGCCAGGTGTACAGCAGCGCCTCGTGCCGAACCGTGTCCAGTGTGGGTACCACCACGTCAGGCGCGGCCACCTTGTGGGTCTCCACCTCCACCTGCGGAACCTTCGCGTTCCATGGCAGCCAGTCACCTGTGATGCTCACCTGGCGGACAGGTAAAAAAGGTAAAGGTGGTCTCGTGGTTTTTTTTCAGGCTGTAGGGGTAGCAGGTTAATCCACTGCGTCTAGGGAGGCCAACAGTGGTCAGATACGTAATGCATACATCATTCAAGCAAAAATATGTGATCAAAATAGCTTTAGTCAGATGCCTTCACATACAGGTAAGACTATACTATAGGCATAGCTTTAGTAAGACTCTACTAAGGAGTTATCCTTTGTAGATAAACAGCAACCTGCTCCTGATTAATCCTGCTACCATGGTCCAGGATGGGAACACAGCAGTGTACAAAATACTTTTTTGAACCAGGTTGCCCATCAGAATTTTATGTTGCCCCACCTATAAGTTAACTTTCCTCAAATTAAGTAATGTTACATACATAAACCTTTAACAATATTTCTAACAGCCTTTAGTTAACTGATACTAGTAAGAGCCATTAATACCTAAAATAAAAAAAAACATCTGAGTCCTGCGTACAGTGGTGCAAGCCAAGTTGGCATGATTTGGGGGGGGGGGGCATTCTTAAAATTCAGGTAGCACACTGGGCTACCTAGGTTCAAAAATAGGTTGCCCCAAGTAAAATTTTGTTGCCCGGGGCAACTGGGCAACCACGTATTTTGTACACTGATACAGGAAAAACTCACACACCTATACCACAGTTAAGAGTTGTGAGAATAACACATTGAGCAGCCTCCTTGCTCACCTCGAAGTCGATGATGGGTATGCTTGGGTTGGGCGGCAGCGGGATGGTCGTCACTCCGCGGATAAACGTGCCCATCTCCTCCCGAACCCTCATCTTTGCATCTCCCACCAGAGACCACAGCAGGGAGTGCACCAGCATCTTCGGGATGTACTTCTCCAGCTGGTCAAACTGTCATGGCAACGGGCAGGTAAACAAACAGGTAAACATGTAAACAACAGCAGGGAGTGCACCAGCATCTTCGGGATGTACTTCTCCAGCTGGTCAAACTGTCATGGCAACAGGCAGGTAAACAAACAGGTTAACATGTAAACATATAGCCCTAACCTAACCTAACCTAACCCTAAAACCAAGCCCTGACACTAACCCTAACCCTGGCCCTGACCTTAACCCTAGCCCTGGCCCTGACCTTAACACTAGCCCTAGTCCTAGCCCTAGCCATAGCCATAGCCTTAACCCCTGACCCTAACCCAAGCCCTACCCTAACCCCAGCCCTAGCCTAACCCTAGCCCTAAACCCTAACCCTAGCCCTGACCCCAGCCCTAAACCTAAACCCTAGCCCTAACCTTAAACCCAACCCTATCCCTAACCCCAGCCCTAAACCCTAACCCTATCCCCAACCCTAAACCCTAACTCTGACCCTAACCCTAACCCTAACCCTGACCCTAACCCTAACCGTATACCAGTGACGAGTGTAGCTTACGGTTAGCGGGAAGTCCGGGTGAGAATGGTTGTACGCCAGGACGCTGCGGACAGCTTCGTTCAGCATGGAGAAGAGCGATCCCAGCGCCCGGAAGCGCGTGTAGTCCATAATATGCTCCTGCTGTGCGGCGAACTCCAGGCAGCGAATGACGAGGCCGTCCGAGGTGAAGAACTGAGTCAGCAGGTTGGCAACGTCGCGCTGGAGCTAATCACGCAAAATACAACTATAATTAGTGGAGCTGGGGCACAGGAACAATGTTTGAACCTATAGCTATGGATCAAGTATCTTTCATTACAGGCACAAGAATTTGGTTGCTTCAGTCTGTTTTCCCACAATTGTCGGTGATGACAACTGAAAAAATACATCAGAACCTTTGATGCAGAGAAGTATTCAAGATCATATATCACATCTGTGAATTAAAAGTAAACGTACCTGTAGGACAGGTGAGAGTGAACGTACCTGCAGGACAGGTGAGACCTCCTCCTTGTCGGCCTCCTGTCCCTGTCCGTAGGTCCTCTCCTCCTCCCCCTCCTCCACGGGGATGTTGCGCAGGCGAGACAGGAAGTTGTCGAACACCATCTCGGTGGAGAGGACGTCCTCGCTGAACCACACCATGCCGCAGCGGCTCACGGTGGCCAGCGTGGCGTACTTCAGGTCCTGCACCTCAAACATGATCCGCACCTGTAAAGTAAGGACATGTGAGATGTTAGCACTCACTTAACCCTACCCCTAACCCTAACCCTAACGCTAACCCAGCGTGGCGTACTTCAGGTCCTGCACTTCAAACATGATCTGCACCTGTGAAGTAAGGACATGTAGGACATTAGCACTCAAGTACTCACCTAACCCTAACCCAGGGTGGCGTACTTCAGGTCCTGTACTTCTGTTGGGATGCTCTTCCATTTACAAATCCTAAATTTCAAGTCAATTCATTCACTGATCTAAAGTGACATGAATAGAAGTTGAAAAGCTCTGACTATCTTTTAAGCAAAATTAACAGACTCCAATAGGTTCCTACTTCAATTCCTACTGGTGGCTACTGGTGGAATCGCCAATTCACCCAGACTCTACCCTGACATGTATACTTACATTAGGAGGGATGCTGAGGCATTCTATATACTTACATTAGGGGGATGCTGAGTCGCTCTCCGTTGGGCAGAGTCAGCAGTTTGTTGTCGTCGAGCACACTGTTCAGGTTCTCCACCCACTCCGGGTCCACATCCCCATCAAACACGATCCACTGTCGCTTCTGCAGCTCTCCACGGATGTTGTCAACAATCCTACAAACAAACAAACAAACAAACCATCAAACAAATATAATCACAAAATCCCCATCAAACACGATCCACTGTCGCTTCTGCAGCTCTCCACGGATGTTGTCAACAATCCTACAAACAAACAAATAAAACCACACAAGTTTTTGTCCTTGACTGTCAAGTGAAAATATGTAAATATGAAGTACTATATATCCAAAGTAAAGGAGCGCCTTACTTGCGGAGGATGTGCGTGAACAGACCGTCTGTCCACTCCCTGGTGTTGGGGTCCAGTGTGCCGTACAGCTGGTCTTTACTGATAGCCTGAAGAAACAAAAACAACAATTTAAAAATGTCCGCTAATGCAATAAAACTATTCTGTACAACTGTTTCGCAATTTTCCTTTCTTTAAGTTACTAGAAGATTCTTTCATCAGTGACAAGTTGGAAGGATAAGGATACTGACCTCCAAATTTTGGATGGCTATCAGTCCATCTTGTTCCTTTCTTTAACTTTTACAAGGCAATGATTTTCAAATCGACAGTGTACTTTTCAACAAATTCACCACTTATCATGGCCTGTTTTGGTCAATATTGCCCATTGTAAGATACTATTTGATATCAGCCCTACAGCTTCGGCTATGCATGGCTGAACAGTCCTATACCAGAATATCAGTCTCTGCCACATAGGGAACATCTGTAAGCTGACTCAGGTCTGTGGCAGACTTCTTTTCTATGGGTTTTCTTCTCTTCTGCGCCGTGCATAAGTCTAGCTTCTCCTGACTTTAGTTGCCTGGACATTTTTTTCATACGCCTCATCAAATTCTGACACCATGTTACTGTGTCAATCACAAGGTATTACAGTGTATCCTAAACTGTCGATGACATGTGAATTTACAGTATTTCTGAATTGCAGAACAAAATGTTTACAATCTGCAATATTGCAGAGCACTGAAGCGAAGTATGTCTACCACTGTTTAATACATGGCATTATAGACTGCATTCTGACCTTCGGGTCAATGACATGTGCGACCCCCTCCACTCCCTCGAGTCTCTCCAGAGCCTTCAGCAGACACTTCCAGGCAGCGCTCTTCCCGCTGCCGCTCGGGCCGACCATCATCAGCCCGTGGTGCAGCTGTGAGATCTGGTACACCTGCAGAACCTGCACAAACAAACAAACAAACAAACAAACAAAAAACATGGTCAGCATACACCTGCAGAACCTACACAAACAAACATGGTCAGCGTACTCTTGCAGAACTTAGGCACTTTCCAACTGTAGGTATTCTCAGCTAGTGAATCAAATGGTTGCTAGACTTATGACTGTAACCCAACACCACAGTTTCTGCTCAAAGCACCAGTTACCATGGTAACGTGAGGATTCCTACCTTCTCCACCCACATGGTGCCCATCTCCTCGCCCTCCCCGTACACCAGGTGCATCTCCTGGCAGACCTTGGTCAGCTCGGTGCGGAGGGCCTTCATCTCCGCCCGCGTGTACTGGATGCCTGGGAACACGTCCGACAGCAGGGAGTGCAGCAGGGGGATGTCCTCAGCTACCAGCTTCGGCACCATCGTCTCCATCACACTCTGGATCAGAATCTATGGGTACAACACACAACACAACAGTCAGTACAACCACAGTACAATATCTACAGCTACAGTACAGCAGTCAGTACAGCAGGCTGTGCCACAAGCTTCGGCACCATCGTCTCCATCACATTCTGGATCAGGATCTATGGGCACAACACACAACACAACAGTCAGTACAACCACGGTACAACACCTACAGCCAAACTACAGCAGTCAGTACAGCAGGCTGTGCCACAAACTTGGGCACCGTGGTCTCCATCACACTCTGGATCAGGATCTACGGGTACAACACACAACACAACAGTCAGTACAACCACGGTACAACATCTACAGCCACAGTACAACAGTCAGTACACCAGGCTGTGCAGCAGGGAGATGTCCTCAGCTACAAGCCCCTTTGTCCACGGCCTCTACCAGTTCCAGTAAAGTCAGTGACGTACAACATCTACAGACACTAGTTATCATGAGCCAGACAGTATGACTGTTTACCTCCTGTTCCGGCAGGTTCTCAGCGATGGCCCCCCATCCACGGCCTCTCCCTGCCCCAGTACAGTCAATGCAACATCTACAGACACTACAGTTATCAAACAATGTCTCGCCCTGTGTCTCACCTCCTGTTCCGGCAGGTTCTCAGCGATGGCCCCCTCGTCCACAGCCTCTCCCTGTTCCTTCTTCAGCTCCTTGATGTGCTGGATGCGGTCGCGCTTCACGTTGCCGGCGGAAACCAGCACGCTCTTCAGCGCGCGCAGACCGAAGTCGTAGTGAGACTGGTTTGACAGCTGCTCATCACACAGCCTGGAGGACACCAAGAATGACAGTAACATTGGTCACATCTGTAAGCTTATTGCTGCAGAGTTCAGTTCTTTTCTTTTCTGATACAGTTCTTTTAAACTTAAATGGGCAAAGGTCCTAGGATAACAGGTTCTGTTGGAGGGAACAAACAACAAACTTGCTTGTTTAAAGTAAAAACTTTTGATCCGACACCATGTGACAAGCCTCACTGGGTCAGTCTACTGATGAAGACCAGAATTTCTGGTCGAAAGCTCTAGGTGAGAGAACTTCTTTGTGTTGGATCCAAAGATTTAACTTTGAACATGTAACTACCAACACAGATGAACCTTCATGATAACAAACTTACTTGAAGAAGGGGACGATCTTGTTGGCGAGTTTCTCTGCAGTGCGGAAGCCCTGCGAGTACAGCATGACCTGGGCGATGAGCTGCCGGTCGGGTTTGGTCATGGCGAGGCTGCGGAACAGCTTCTTCAGGTTATCGGGCAGGTTGGAGCGCCCGGCGTAGCCCGGGTTCATCGTGATGAAGATCGCCATGTCAGGGTTCACCTTCACCTGCTTACCGATCAGCTCCACGGAGATCTGCGAGTCTGGAACAACAACAACACACACAGGTTATTATAACAACAAAACACACAAACATTACAGAACAAAGTCTGTGATGGCCTGTAATGTCAGGGTTCACCTTCACCTGCTTACTGATTAGCTTCACCAAGATCTGAGAGTCTGGAACAACAACACACACAGTCACAAATTAATAACAACACACAAAAATTACAGCACAGCGTCTGTGATGGCCTGTAATGTCAGGGTTCACCTTCACCTGCTTACCCATCAGATCTGAGAGTCTGGAATAACAGAACACACAAATATTACTGTAGGAAAGGTGTAAAAGATAAGCCATACGGACATTTGGGTGGTGACGTTAGAGTCTGTTTGACATCTGAATGGCAACGTTAAGATGTTAGAATCTAAGAACAAACACTAAGATTAAAGTCTGTTCTTGGAGTTGAAGTCTAAGTGTTCAGATGCCTTTTTTTGTGCTCCTGCCTTTCTTTTCTCCTATCACTTTTGGAGCTCCATATCGCAGGAGGAATTCAACAACATTCTCACATCAAATTCTACTACTGGATAATATTACAAAGATTATTTCTGGACATTTCAAGTGACATCTGTCACTCTTCTTCAGTATCACTAAAATGAACTGAGGGATCTAGTCCAGAGTTTGAATTGTCACCTGGATGTCTAACTTTCATCAAAGTCTAAATCCATGTTAAGGACCAGTTTAGCCTATTTTTTGTAGGCAACATTAACACAGAAGAGACACAGCAGCACAGATATGAACTTAGCTGTTTGGTTATAAGTGCAGGCATGGTGACAGACCTTGTGTGGATTCCTTCAGCGTTAACTGGATGGACTGGATCTGTTGAGAGACGGCTGACAACATCCTCTCCTCCAGGCGGTTAAACTCGTCAAAACAGCCCCAGGCCCCCACCTGGTGTGAACAGTGCAAAACATTAACATCAGCTTTTTACACGGTACTTAGTTGACATAAAAAATAAATCAGACTTTCTTCCACAAGGTAAGACTCAGCATTGTGATTATCAACAGGTTCGGTTCACTGCCCTCATATCACTTATATAGCTCGATAATGATGTACTGCAGTAGCAAAATTTCGCGGACTGCAAAAAATGGACACACTGGCAGCTGGTGCAGAAGAAAGAAACTCAGCTAATTATTTGTTCGTGGTGTTGACAAATCCGCTGAACAAAAGTGACCACTGAGACTGCTTAGAGGCTCACCTGACACAGCCCCACGAAGATGCGGCCCATGGCCTGGAAGTCGAAGGTCTCGTCACAGTTGAAGACCAGCACGAAGCGGCCGAGCTGGTGACCCAGGGCCTTCACAGACTCCGTCTTCCCTGTTCCTGCCGGACCTGTACAACACAAAACACGAAACAATAAATAAATAAACAAAACATGAAACATGACAATCAGTCATGGTGAGGTACAGCCTGTTGCTACAGTTAACCCTCTCACTGCTGCCCTACCCCATAACGGCCACCTTAGCCAGCAGAGGGTTAATGTCCCTGTCCCTAGTGCTGAAACTGTGGCTGTTATTAACTTTCTCCCTGCTGCCTAACCCCATAGCAGCTACCTTAGCAGACTGAAGGTTAAATAAGACTGTGTGAGTGTGAGTGAGTGTGAGTGAGTGACTGAGTGTTTGAGTGAATAATTGTGTGAGCGAGTGAGTAAATGAGTGAATGAGTGTGTGTCTGTCTGTATCTGTATAGCCGGTATAACCGCCTTTCAGCGTAACACACCAGTATGAGTGAGTGAGTGAGAGCGACTGAGTGAGTCAGTCAGTGAGTGTCTGAGTGAGTGAGCGATTGAGTGATTGTGAGAGTGAGTAAATGAGTGAGTGAGTGAATGAGTGACTAACCGAAGGGCGAGCCTCCGAGCCTCCCCTCCAGAGCCTGAGTCATGGTGAGGTACAGCCTGTCTGTGAGCGGGGTCTGCACCAGCTTGTCCTGCACGCCCAGGTACTCGAAGCCGTAGTTGAACTTGGCGTTGGCCATGTGTATGGAGAGTTGCTGAAGCACGTCCGTGTTGCGGGGGTTGTAGTAGAAGCGCATCTGGCACAGCCAGTTGAAGCTGAGCGGCGAGTTCACCTTGTCCTTCACCAGAGAGCGGGTCACGTCACGCTGATGGACCAACTCTGTGATCTGTGGACGATCAGAGGAACACAGTTTAGCCTAACTTCTGTAGCACCCTAACCCTACACTTAATACTGTAACACTATCTAAGCTTTAATCCTAACCAACTTGTCCTTAACCAGGGAACGGGTCACGTCGTACTGGTGGACCAACTCTGATCAGTGGACGATTGGAGGAACTCAGTTTCGTCTACCTTCTGTAGCATATTGTGACACTCCTGTTCTTACCTAACCCAAACCCTAACCAACTAGGTGACCTGTGTAAGACAATCGGAGGAATGCAGTTCAGCCCACCTTGTTACTGCAGCAAACTTGTCTCGCAAAACTGTCCTCAGTACACTAAGAATTATGCATGAGTAGCAACACTTCAACAATAAAAATGGTCTAGCAAAAGGTCTTAGTGGATATACAAGGCTTAAATGTGTAGACATACGAGCAGATGTTCTAGCTTCTTCCACAGGTGGTTAAGGATAGGGTTGGCCCTTCCTTACCAGCCCATGTGGTTGGTAAGTATATTACTAACTTAGTCTGAATGTGTGTACTAAGTGCACTTACCAGATGTTCCAGCTTCTTCCTAAACAAAGGCGGTTAGGGTCAGGGTTAGACCTTCCTTACTCGTACGTGTATAACTTAGCTTTTGAATATTTACGAATACTTACCAGATGTTCCAGTTTCTTCCGTCTCACCGGCGGCTGTTCCTGAAGGACGGAGTCGGCCAGCACGTTCAAGGTCGCCTCCACGGAGTCCAGCATGACCTTCATGGGCTTGAGGTCTGTGCCGCCGTTGATGGAGGTCAGAGCTTTCTCCACACCCTCCGACCAGGAGACCTGGGCTGACAGCACCACCAGCTGGGCCTGAGGTGGGAATAGACATGAGTTATCAATGATTAGGTTCTTATTATAGTATCCATAGTTATCCATTCTTTTATTGAAACTGTGTAAAGTTGAATGTCATTTTAATGATTGTAAAGCATGTAGGATGAAAATTGTGTAAGTTTAGTGGCATAGATGCCCAATGTCATTTTTGTATGATGTGAAGTCTGTGTATTGTTTTGTCTTATGTTGTTGGAATCCAGGAAGATTAGTCGCACAAAACTTATGGATATCCTAATAAAGTATCAAGTACCATTTAAAAAACTTTCAATAGATATGCAGTCTATACTGCAGGCTCTACAGGTGTTGACACCATACTGCTCTGTTCTGTAACTTTTGTTCACTTAAAGCTTGGCAAGTGAAGATGACAATGGATCAAACATCACATGTAGCTATAACCATGGGTCCCTGACCTAACATTTGTGCACACACTGCATGTACTTGGTGGGGACCTATCGAGTTTAAAATCCAACTGTTCTCTATTAACTTTTACAAGTTACATTAAAAACTCAAAAGTCAAAATCGATGTGTATCAAACACTACACAGTTATGACTGGCTTCCTGACTAGTGTTCCACTTTGTATGATTGCTGTTGCAACAAACATCAAGAATAAAGCCTGTGTCTCCCTGACCTGGTACTTGTCGACCCACTGCATGTACTTGGCGGGGTCCACGGCGCCCTCCCCCAGGGACTTGAGCTCGGTGACGGACTGGGACAGCAGCCGGGCCAGCGTGACTCTCATCTCCTGCTCCACCAGCGTCAGCCACTCGTTTATCTTTGGGTTCTCTTTGATTGACACCGGAGAACTGAAGATCACCTGGGAAACAACATATCAACAGTTACTGTTAACTCTCATCTCCTGCTATCAACAGTTACTGTTAACTCTCATCTCCTGCTATCAACAGTTACTGTTAACTCTCATCTCTTGCTATCAACAGTTACGGTTAACTCTCATCTCCTGCTATCAACAGTTACTGTTAACTCTCATCTCCTGCTATCAACAGTTACTGTTAACTCTCATCTCCTGCTATCAACAGTTACTGTTAACTCTCATCTCCTGCTCCACCATCAATATATGATGACCAGCCCCTCCAACTCTGTCCTACCACTTGCTACACAAAGTAACCCAGCACCACAGGGTGTCTGATACAGCACCAGTTACCATGGTGATAGCCGAGCCATCTGGTCCAGAGTATTGACCTTATGTGTTTAGAGAAGAAAAACCAGAGCAAAAAAATTTTCTCTCTACAATGGTGAACATAATGAGCCACCATGGCATTTTTCCTTGCCCTGCATGTCTGCTTTTTCAGTTGTTTACGTTTTGTGAAGTTTGCTTTTATTGTTGTTTGTGTGAATAAATCAAATCAAGAACAGAAGACTTACTTCCTCGCCTTCCTTGGAAGACAGCCCCTTGACCAGAGTTGCGTCCTCATTCAGCACGATGGAGTTCACGCCTGCAAACATCTTCTTGAAGTGTTTCTGGAGCCGAGCGACGTTCTTGCTGTTCCCGATGATCTCCAACAAGTCCTCGTCTCCCACAAAGTAGAATCTGGAAACACCAACAAAACGTTTGTCGTTTTATGTCTCATTCATGGCTGTTTCAAGCACTACTCCTCTCTGTCATGTGAAGTTTCTGATAATAGCCAACCACATGTTGGCCGGAATAAGTCATTACTACAGTCAAAATGTTACTCAATTTTCATCTATGTTTGTACTCATAGTTACACACGCAAGGATCTATAATTTTAAAAATTCCATGTAGATTCGTCCTTCAACTGCTGCTGATTTACATATAAATGAGAATGAGTGAGTGAATGAGTGAGTGAATGAATGAAGGAGTGAATGAATGAAGGAGTGAATGAATGATTTACCGTGGGAAGGATGAGTGCTCCCGCTCCAGGTACTCCCCCAGGGCCTTCTGGATCTTGACTGAGTGAGTGACTGAGTGAATGAGTGAGTGAATGAGTGACTCACCGTGGGAAGGAGGAGCGCTCCCGCTCCAGGTACTCCCCCAGGGCCTTCTGGATCTTGCCCAGCAGGTCGGCTAACCTCTCCAGCAGACGCTGCACGCCGGGGATGTTCAGGATGTCCAGCACCAGGGGGGCCTTGGCCACCTTCTTCATCAGGCCCAGGAACTCGGTACTGATGCTGCAGAAGAAAAGGGCATAGTTAGCACCAGGGGGGCCTTGGCTACCTTCTGACAGTAGCTTTTTTGAAATAGCCAGTATGTGACAGTAACTGTACATAAACAGCCAGTATCTGACAGTAGCTGTCCTGAAACAGACAGCGTTATTTACCTCTGGAAGCGCTGTGTCTCCACGGGCAGCAGGTGCTTGATGTCTGCGCTGCCGGCGAAGATGCCCTCCAGGTAGACCCAGCGTCGCTGCACGTCGATCCACACGTCGAACAGCGCATTGATGCGGTTCAGCTTGTCTTCCCAGGACAGCGCATCCTCCTCAAACACCTAAAACAGCAGCAACCATCTTTACACACAGGCAAGAGCTTACAGGGTAATCAGCTACTCTAACAATAACCTTTCCCTTCTCTTCCCAGAACAGCGCATCCACCTCAAACACCAGGGAAAATAGCAACCATCAACAGCTTTAAGTAACAGTTAAAAGTAACAGTTAAACAGTTATAACTTGTCCTCCCAGTAGTAAAGTTAAAAAGTTAACAATTCTCTCTCAATTTTACAACTCTAACTTTTCCCTTGACCTTGACTGTAGATGACCTTGAACTGACCTTGTAGTAGGGCGAGAGCTTCATGGCGGCCACGCTGTTGATGTGCTCCTTGACCTTGTTGAAGAGGTCGTCCCAGCCTCTGATCAGCCGGCACTTGTTCTGGTAGTTTACCAGGTCCAACTCATACGTCTGC